AATATTTGTCTGGGCATGGTGGCTCACACCTGTAATCCTAACAATTTGGCAGGGGAAATCACTTGACCCCACAAGTTTGAGACCAGCCTGGGTAACATGGTGAGACTCTGTCTCTACAAAAAAACACAAAAATTAGCTGGGTGTGGTGATGCATGACTGTAGTCCCAGTTACTTGGAGGCTGAGCTGGGAGGATTACCTCGGCCTGGGAGTCAAGGCTGCAGTGAGCCATGATCATGTCATTGCACTCCAGCCTGGATGACAGAGTGAGATCCTGTCTCAGAAAAAGCAAACAACAGTAACAAACCTGGCAGTACTCTCTAACCTGCCAACAGTGCCTGAACCAATTCTCTAACTTAGTTGTCTCCTTAACATTTGCCATTATCTAAACCCAGGCTCAGCAACTAGCCCATAGGTCCAATTAGGACCACCTCCAGTTTTTATATAATCCTAAAACTAAAAACATATTTTTAAATATTTTAAATGATTTTTAAATCAAAAGCACAATATTTTATAACACAAGAAAATTTTATTAAATTTAAATCCTAATGACCATAAATCAAGTTTTTTAGAACAGAACTCATTTTGTGTATATGGCTACTTTCTTACTACAAGGGCAAAATTGGGTAGTTGTACTATCTGGTTCCTTAGAGTAAAAAATTTACTGATGCCTGTTTTAACATAGTGTATTTTAATTTCTTTCATTTATTTACATATGATATTTTTTATATTGTATTTTTATTGTCTAATTCCCGTCACTATTTATAAACTATTTGATGGTAGGACTCTATGTCTTTGTTTTGTTCTTTTGTCATTCCTAATGTCCGGTAACAATATACGGCACATTGTAAGGCTTTCTAAGCATTTGCTGGTTAAATGAATGTTTGCCACATTAATAACATACTATGTAGAACAGTTGAATGAAACAAGAACTATCAGGAAGAGAAGAGGTCGATCAGTGTGTGAGCTTTTTGAGAATGCCTTAATAAAGAATCTTGATGGATGAGTATGCCAACCCATAGGGGTGCCAAAAATCTCCAGGAAAATAACAGCAAACTCAGGTTGCCAAGGTGGCAATTAGGATGGTTCATTCAGGGAATAATGAGAAAGAAACCTAGAGAAATAGTTAAACTTTTAAGATGAAGAAGAAGGAGAAATACAATTGAAAAACATATAAATGAGGCCAGGTTATGTGTAACCTAAAATGCCAGGATGGAAGTTTGGTTTGAGACCAACTTTTGAATGTCCTCACTCAAATCTGTTTGTTTACAAACCTTGGAAAGAAATGGAGGCTGAAAAGGTTACAACTCAACTGAGAAGATGTCAATTTGCCCTGTAGTTACTTGTGATTTGAGCAATTCCAAACAAAAGCAGCAAATCGAAATATCCACTCCCCTTTATTTTCTACCCTTCACTTTAAGAATACCAATTACAAATGATTGAAAGAAAACATTTTCACGGTATTTCCCCAGACATGATTGTATTACAAGTCTGGAGACAATCTCCAGGGCTCCAGCCAGGACACATTTACAGGATATCGAGTTTGGATTTTACGCCTTGTTTTTGCCATTATGTGGAGGTTACTTTGACATTTATTATACTGCTGTTTGATACAAATTATAGTCAGATAAAGACAATCAACATTTTTTACTACTTCTTCAAATTGTGACTTGTCCTCAACAGGAGTCAATGGTAATTTTTAGTACTTTAGAAATTTAGCTCAACTCCCAGGACAGTGAAGAGTATGTTTCATACTTTTAACCTATTTAAACATTTAGTATTTAATTTAATATGCACTTACTGGTACACATTGTTACCATATCAAACAATTTTCATAAAAGACAGACATTAAGTATATGAATTAACAAACTCAAATTCACAAAAATATTTTAAAATGTGGTAATTTTCTGGTTGATGATAAAATAGAATTATCTGATTACTAAATGGAGCTTGATAATACACTAACATTAAATACCAGCACATATTTTCATAATGCTAAATCATGCATTTTCAACATGAGTGACACCACCTTCCGGGGGGTGAAATTTATACATGGGGAGTGAACCAATTTTTAGATATTACAATGGTTTATGGTTCTCCAAAGTGCTCATAGTATAAACACAAACATACAACATATTTCTGGTATAAAAATTTCACAGAGGAAGATTCTGTTAAGAAAAAAAGTATTAAAAATCTCCTTGGCATTGAGGTTCTTTAAAAAGTTTGAAAAACTATGATTTTGAAGAAATAGGTTCTTGTCTTCATTTTGCCAGTCTTCTCAACATCTTGATAACGCAAACAACTTATAAATTACTTTTAAATATTCTCAAGGTATTTGTGGGGTATATGTTTGTGTATGTGTGTGTGTGTGTGTATGTGTGTGTGTGTGCGCGCGCGCGTGCATGTTCTACCCAGTAAGGTATAGACTTCTCAAAGATAGAGTCTGAGCCTCCTGTGTTTTCTGACCTTCTGAAATTATAATTGATACATAGCTTAGAATATTTAGGCAGTCTGATTGATGAATCATTAGGTTTAAGTGCTTTTCTATCCCTTATTCTTTTACACTGTCTACCACTTTATATAGATTTGCTAATAATCTGTAAACCAGAAGAGTTTTTAATTAGAAAATTGTCCCAGCAGAAATTCTAATGTCAAGTAAGGAATTTGTTTTGTATGTCTATATTTTACTTGCTGAGTTTTATTAGATATGTCTCAATAAATGGGACTTTTAATTGCCTTAACTGACATTTGATTTTAACACAATTGATTCAAGTGTTAGATAAACCTCACCTCTGTGAAGAAATGGCTTAATAAATGTTAACAGCATTTATCTGTAACTTTTTTCTATTGATGACATTTATGGCTTCAATTGGACCCTTTCAATTTTGAATGGCATCGTAAGGTGGTATAATGTAGCCGGACCTGGGTTTGAAACCCTCCATTAGTCATGACTACGTTTCTGAACTGGAGAAAGTTATTTAAACATTTTAAAGCCTCATTTTATCTTATTTAAAATTAATATTATAATATAAGCCTCACAGTCTTGTGAGAATTAAACGACATAACAGAAACAAAACTGCTAGCATAGATACTAACACATATTAAAAGCAAAATAAGTGAGGATGGTGGTAGAAAGATAGAAGTAGTAGGATAGTACTGATAATCACAATAGTAGTTTGATTTGAGATCATGTAATTTACACATCCAAGTTCCTATGTAAAATTTTTATTTTAGAAACACAACGCAGTGACAGTAAAGAAAATGATGTCTGAACCCAGGAGGCGGAAGTTGCAGTGAGTGGAGATCACACCACTGCACTCTAGCCTGGGCGACAGACTGAAACTCCATCTCAAAAACAAAAATTAAGATTCTATTATAACATATTTAACTTGAGATGTGATTAGTGACTTTTGGAAAATCAGTAGTTGTGGGGAGCAAACGAAACCAGTATGAGGTAGTTCAACCAAGTAAAATAGGGAGAAATTTAACTGAAAGAGGCCAAATAGGAGTAAATTACAGATTTCATACATGAGACACAACAGAGAAAAGGTAAAAGTTGAAAAAGCTGTCATTTTAAGGGGATATTACTAATTCAAATTTCAAAAGTGAATATTTCCACTTGGGATGGGAACCAGTTATGGATGTGCTCACAGATTATAGTTGATCATCATCTAATCTGCGGTATTTGAGAAATATTCATATCAGCTCACCAGATGAATCATCAACATTTCTCTTGAATTGAAAGAGAAACATGCAGTAGATGGAGAGAGAAAAAAAAAATAATTGGGCTACTTTGAAATCCTCAAGGAAAATAGTGCAATCAGTTGTGGTGACAAATGCCTGTAATCCCAGCACTTTGGGAGGCCAATGTAGAAGGATGGCTTGAGTTTAGGAATTCAAGACCAGCCTGGGCAATGTAGCAAGACCTTGTCTCTGTTAAAAATGAAAAAAAAAAAAAAATTAGCCAGGAAATGTGGCATGCACCTGTAGTCCTAGCTACTTGAGAGGCTGAAATGAGATCACTTGAGCCTGAAAGTTCAAGGATGCAGTGAGCTATTACTGTGCCACTGCACTCCAGCCTTGGCAATACAGCAAGAGACCCTGTCTCAAAAAGTAAATAAGTAAATGGAAAGAAAGTACAAGCGTGTCATGAGAACAAAAGTATTCTGGTGACAATGGTGATGAGGTATTTGAGAGTGTGTAATAAGAAAATTTTATTAAGCTGAATTAAGATTTGTGAAGAGTGTACATAATGCATGACACATGCCAAGTGCATGTGTCATATGCCAAGTGCAAGAATGTGTTAAATATAAACATAGTATAATGTGTAAATAACATGATCTCCAAATTTATTTATAGAGGTAACCTTTACTCCTTAATGGTGCAGGCATACAATACACATTCATTGAAAGTACAATCATGGCAATTATATTGGAAATAAAACACCAATGATTGTTCATTATATGTTTATGGTAGAATTAAACAGGAACCAATTCCCTGAAACTGCCTAGCCAATCTAAAAGAAGTTGACAACCCAAATCTCTTCCATTCAACCAGACTGGGAAGTTAATATGTTGTGTGACCTTTCAGTTTACTTTTAATGCATATAATAAAAAGTTATAGTCACACTATTACATGTCCTGAGAAAAAAGGAAATTAATTATGAACATCTCATTGAATATAGGGAGTCTTGAATGTCTACAGCTTCCTTTAAAATATCATTGACATAATTCCCCCACTGCTGATTGTACGCTTCTATAGAACTCATCTAAATGTGCTCAATGAATCCCTACAGAGTTTCTGCATCATTAACTGTTTACATGGTGACCTCAATAGAGTGGATTTAGTCTGATGAGATATATATCTCACAGGTTGCCTCAGGCAGCAGTTGTAATACTCCATATGACTCTGCGATATATTGAAAGATGAAAAATATCACATTACCTTTCTTAATCTCATCTCATTAAGCACTGAAATTCCCCTTGTGTTTATCTCCAAATAGCCTCCGTAATGCTGTATCTTAAGCTATATCCCTGAAGTCCTCAGTTTCCACTGATTTGGAGTGAAAGAGGTATGTATATATGTATATGTGTGTGTGTATTTATATGTGTGTATCTGTACATATATATGTAAATAGTGCTTCTATATATATATAATGCAGAATATATATGCAACACTATTTATTTAGCACTATTTATTTATATATATGTATAGCACTATTTATTTCCTCCTACATTCCAAAGTTCTATAATCCTAAATTTGAAAGCAGGTGCCTTTAAGTGTTGAACTCATTTTTTAATGATCCTATTATTTGCTTTCCAAATTATAATGCCAAGGAAACCAATAAATTCAAATGTCACTGAGCATCTTTCTAGAAATAATGATTTCTTAATTAGCTAAATGTTAGAAAAAGAGAAGAAATATATTACAACACAATAGTTGTCTGGTAGTAGAGTCTCTATTATAATAATGATTGGATAGATGGAATCATTCAGCAGATGATTCAGAGAAAGATATAATAATGCTATTTGAGTTTTGCATAACACAATGCCTTCCAAACTTATCTTTTGATATACTGTAATAAACCTGATGCATGTAGAACAACATAAATTTTAACAAGAAGTATAAACATAAGAGAAGGAACTATAGCTGGGTTCTGGTCCCAAAATAGCTGGAAAACTCTGCTTTATTGTGCAAATAGCTTTATAATTTGTGGCCTCAGTTTTTACATTTCTAAAATTTGGGAAATGGGTGGCACAGTCTCCAAAAATTTATGTCAAAATTCTGTCATACTATGTGATATTGGATACCATTCCTGTCTATAAAATTATTGAACTAGTATATCATGTACTGTTAAGTGTGATTAACTAAAAAATTCTATGATTTTAGTGCTTTTCCCTATTTATTTATTCACTGACATTGTTTTCCAATACAGGCTTAAAATGTTTCCTTCAATTATTTTTGATAATTATCTTCTAATTAATTGTGCATTTACTAATCTTTCTCTCCCAGTCATACTCTATTCAATCATTAGATTCATGTTTCTAAGATATAAGTATTCAAAATCAGTCAATAATCAGTAATGTTTAGAGAATAAAATCATTTCTGTCTAAATGTACCTCATAGTGTATTTTATGTTATATTCCATTTGCACCTTTGTTACATCCTTTATTGGCTCTTTATGCCCATATCAATTTCTCTCCTATCCACATTCCTCTAAAACCTAAGCTTAGATATGCCTTTTAGTTGTTATTCACTTATAGAAAATCTCTCAAAAGCAGGCTTATCATTCCTTGCATTACCTTCAGTTCTTAGCACAATAATGAACATACAGCTGGTGTGTAGTAGATAATCACTGCTGAAATAGATAATAGATACCTTTTAAAAAATACTTTACCATCCTTCCTCATTGCAGTAGGGATTGGGTTTTGAAACTTCTAAGAATGAGATGGATTTTGGTTATTCCGTCTATATCTTCTTATCTGAGTCTCTTCACATCAAAGACTGAATTTTCAAAGGATTTTAGTATTTTTCAATTTAGAGTTAACTTCAGCTGAAAAGTTGGATGGAAATATTTCTGTGATGTAATGAAAAGGTGAGATGAAGTCAGAATATTTGATTTTACTACCCTTAGTCTCTTCACTAGTCTAAAGGAAATACACATGTCATCTATACTAACCTCACTGGCTTTTCAAGGGACCCAGATGAGGAGCTGGATGTGAAAGCACTTAAATATTGCAGAATGTTGTGAGATGAGATGATTTTGTGTTTTATTAGCAGGAGTATTGTGGGTAGTAGCAATAGTAGTAGTAATTTTAGTAGTGTTTGCGGTATCATTATTTAGGATTCTTTTGGTCCATAGGGGTAGGAAGTATTCTCAGGACCACCATATCTGATACATAACTTCTATGTGTATGCATGCATGTGTTTGTGTTTACGCATACATACAGTATGTATGTGTATATCTGTATATGTATATTTGTATTTGAAATCAAAGGTACATACATGTTCTCCTTTCCAAGCTATCACACAATGGTTCCTTGTAACTTGATTCTCTAGATTATATATACGTACATATATACACATATATTACATATAATATACACATATATTATATATATTTTTTCACAACATACAAATTAAGTGCTTAAGACTGGAAAGAAGCATGAATTGTCTTGATGTCTTCAGCTGTATCACAGTCCACTCAGGGTGCTATACCAAAATATCACAGACAATGTATCTCATAAACAAGAGAAATTTATTTCTCACAGTCCTTGAGGCTGGGAAATTCTAAACCATGAGTGGACAGATTGGGTGACTAGTGACCCATTCCTTCTAAGTGGTGCTTTCTGGCTGCATATTCACATGTGGAAGAGGAAAGGGAAGGGTCCCTCTGGGGTCTTTTTTACAAGGGCACTAATCCCATTCATGAGGGCTCTGCCTTCATAACTTCTCAAGAAACCCACTTTCCTAACACCACCACTTTAGAGGTTAGGGTTTCCACGTTAATTTGGAGGCATACAAACATTCAGATCATAACAGGTTGCAAGGAACTGAACGCATTCAAAAAGACTGAAGTACAAAGTTGCTTAATTAAAGATTTCAGGAGGTAATCCTGTGAACAATCAGGTATGACAAGGCATACAGAAATTGAGAGTAGGAACAAAGCTTATTTCCTTAGTCTCTTATTGAAGTGTATTTTGCATTTCTGGTCATTTTCTCATGTGCTTTCTCATAGTCTCTGGGCTTTCTGGAACTTGCTCATGCATTTGGTTTGCCGTGGAGCTTAGTCACACACAAACTTAACGTGACTTTTTATTTTTAGAGCTTACCATTAGTTGATTGATTGATTCTTAAGGTTTCAAAACTCCGATTTCCTTGGAAGGGAAACATAATGGACCCTTTGAAAACTGGGGTTCACCAATGGTTTCATAAGTTATGGGCTATAGATAATAGTCAGTTGGGAGAGGGGGCAGAAATGTATTGCACACAGAGTTAGCCCTTTATGGAGAGTAGACTCTTCCACAACAGACTATTTGTGATGAATCAAAGCTTTAGATGTCTTTTCCATAATAAAAATCAACTTTTTATATCATTCAAATGAAACTAACAATTCTGTGTCTTTGTTAAAAATAACTCCATATTTACTGATACATGTAAAGTATCTGCAATCAATATATAGGAAATCTATCCATTTTGGGGGATATCAGACAATGCATCTCTTACTCAGTATAAATGTCCAGATACTTTCTCATCTCCTCCTGCTAGTGATCAAGAAAGTTTTTTGCTCTGACCTCTAAGGTATTGCTTCACAAAGTAAGTCTTGTCCATATCTTTAATTAACTTATACAAGAATAGACCATATGTTCATGTTTATAATTCCTTTTTTATATGAAACAAGACTGAATAGAATGGCATGAAAGAACCTGTAAATTGTTGGGGGACAATTAAATGGCATTCAAGTGTTTTACTGTGGTAATTTTCTTGCCTTTTATCATATTGAATTTGTATTTTTAAAGGTAGATAAATTTCCTCTTACTCATTTGCCTTTTATTTTTCCTTGAACAGGGTCAATACTTAAACTTTTTTGTTATCCTGGATATTTTGAGACTGTAATAAACTCATGGACCCCCTTCCCAGAGAAATGTTTCAAAATTAAAAATTTCTATCCCATTTTATGTGCCTCATTGAATTTCCATAGAACCCCTAGAGGTTCAGAATTCACTTACCAAATGTACGAATATAATGGAAATGATTACAGAAATGCTGCCCAATCATGGTTTAGAAAACATGCTTAAATAGGACATTATAATTATTGATGTATCCTTCTTCCTGAGTTTTCCAAGTTCACCAATATATGAGTTGAAACAAATCTCCAAAAATAGTTTAAGTGCCCTAGATTTCATTATGCTAGTGGACTATCCAAGATAATCAGAAATCTAACAGATGTCAGAGAAGCTCAGTGGTGTTGAATTTTTTTAAGTATAGAAAACTCTTTTTTTTTCAAATGAACTCCTACAAAGAACCCCAATATGTAAAACAGATCAAAAGTTTAGTTGGTTAGTTGAAGTGCAATTTGGTGAGGCCATGTATGGGTACTACCGATAAATCCTTTCCTCACCTGTCTATTCCAGCTGCTAATAGAACTCTTTAGATTCCTCAGGGATCTGAAACACATAAATGAGCCAACGATATAATGAAGAAAGAGAAAGAGTATTTTAGATAGAATCAGTGGCACTTACAAAAGTAACAAGGAAAAAGACAGTAGTTAAATATTGCCTTAAAATTATATTGGAAGTCAATAGAGAATTGATAATAGACTTCTAAAATAACAGCCTCTAGCTGGGCATGGTGGCTCATGCCTCTAATCCCAGCACTTTGGGAGGCTGAGGTGGGCGAATCATGAGGTCAAGAGATCGAGACCATCCTGGCCAACATGGTGAAACCCCATCTCTACTAAAAAGTACAAAAATTAGCTGGGCGTGGTAGCATGTGCCTGTAGTCCCAGCTACTCGGGAGGCTGAGGCAGGAGAATTGCTTGAACCTGGGAGGTGGAGGTTGCAGTGAGCCGAGATTGTGCCACTGCACTACAGCCTGCAACAGAGCAAGACTCTGTCTAAAAAACAAAATAAAATGAATAATAATAATAATAAAAAGCAGCCTCCTTCTTCAGGGACTTGTATTCTACAGGAAATAATTTAAATATTATTTTACAAGAATGAAGAATGAGTAATTTAATTAGGTTTAAATTTTAGAAAGATCATTCTGGAAACTGTATAGAAGATAAGTTAAGGGAAGAGATTGGAGACAAAAATATGGAAGATAATTTAAGTAATTCAGAAGAGATATTATTAGAGCTAGAATTAAGAAAATAAGGTTGAGAGCGAAGAAAGGTAACAGGTTCCAAAAATATTATGAAAGTAGAAGAAGTGACACATCTTGGACAACTTGTATATGGTGATCATGATTTCCATCAAGTTGTCCATGTGTAGCACTAAAAATAAAGGAAGAATTACACAATAGAAGGGCTAGATAATTACAAGTTAACCCTTTCCTATGTTCTAATTCCTT